AGCGTTGCGACCGCACGTTCCAAAACAATAACACATTTCTCATAGCATTTTTTTCGGATTACATCTCTATTTTCGTTGTCCGCTTATTGCTGAGAAGTAAAAACAAGAACAAAATCTATTTCCATACCTGAGGATGTCTGTAGAAACAGACGAAAGCTTGTAAAAAATTAAAAAGACCTTATGCAACTGGAATTTATAAACGGGGATCATATCATTCATATACAGGTTCGGAGTTGATGTATCTTATTTATGTGTTTGCGACGATGTATTTCACGCCATTTAAATCATTAACATCTATATTTGTTTTTTTGTATGAATGATTCATGAATTTATAAATTATATTTGCACCTTTTAATTGAAATAATATATATATATATATATATATATATATATATATATATATATATATATATATATATTTAGGCCAAAATTTTGTAGAAAGCATCTGGGTTAGAATGAATCACCAAAATTAATCCAACAATGACGACAATAATAATAGATATTACTCCATTATTGCATGAAGTTCCCTTAAAGTTATAGCAGATTTGCCAAATTTACCTTGCTGGCCAAGTGTAAAATTAGAGCTGAGAGATTTTAAGGTAACCTCACTCTAAAAGACACTAATAACTTAAATAGTTTCATCATAGTAGATTATTTAATTAAACTAAAGAACGCAAGAAGCTTACCACTCAATACGAAGAGTGTTCCAAATATTTAACCTATAGTGTTTATATCTATATCTATTAAGACGTCTCCGCACGCTTTCGATATATGACAGCTTAAGAGTTTGTTTTTAATCCTTATACTCCAAGAAAGTAAATAAAGCCACTAAGTCACATGGTGTTACTGAATAAAAAAAAAAAACACTATGAAGAACAATGAACAGTAGAGAAGAAGAATTGCAAAGACAGAAGATAACGATTGACCTTGCATTTAAATGTTTGAGGATTGAAGTTGACTGGGGAAGCAAGCAGCCGGAAATGTTTTCCGCAAGCGAGAAGTGCAATAGAAGAAACTATTAGCATAGGACATCTAGACATTTCCACAGTAAAAGGATGAGACCTTGTCGCCAATCTAATGCTAGTAAAATCCATTTTTTTTTAAATAGTCAAACGATGAGGCTACGCTTAAAAATGATTTGTTTATAGTAATTATAGCTTGTGCAGAACCAACCACGTTTTCGAAAGAACTCATAGTCGTACAATATTCCACAGATTACCACAATTTACTAGCAATTGGTATTCCCAAGAGGTCACGGATCTAGGTTTGACGTTACTTAGATTCAGTGATTGTACGGGAACCCGTGTGTTACCGTGATGTGGCGATAAGCCCATATGTGTTTGGACGTGTATGTGTATATATATATATATATATATATATATATATATATATATATATATATATCCAGTAAGATGAGAATGAATAGAGTACAATTCCAACATTCGTAACATTAATTTAAAAAAGGGCTCAATACAAGGTAGAGCAATATCCTTTATTTTAAGATGTTACATCGAAAACATGTCAAAATGACTACACAATTGCAGTCGGGTTTCGAAACACGACTGCAATTGTGTACCAATTATTTCCTTCCTGTGACATATTACTAAGGTAAGAGCAAATTGTTTTAATTATTATCCTTTCGGTGACATACTACTAAGATAGGTGCAAATTGATTTACTTATTATCCTTCCTTTGACATAATATTGTGATAGGGGAAAATTGTTTTACTTATTATGCTTTCTGTGGCATAATACTAAGATAAAACACCTATTCCTAAACTTTGAATTATTTTTTATCATTATCATGTGTGTCCTCCGCGTCAAAATCTTGTCTTGAAATTTATCAGTAGATCCAGATGAAAGTACAAAGCAAATTTGTGTCGAAGAATTTATAATTGAAAAATGTTTTTTTTTCATTGTGCAAAATTCTATGCGAGTTTGTATAATAGTATCCAAAACCTAAGTGACGAGAAGACAAAGGAGAAAAGCTATTAAACGAAGCGTTTCGTCGACGTGACGTGTGTTGTTTTTGGCTTAACCAGGTCGGAATAAAAGGCAGAAATTCGTTAGCATTTTCTGTACTGTTTTGACTTTCATGTTAGCTATTGTACTTTGTCTTATAATCTTCAATTTTGTTTCTCATACTGCTATACAGCTTATAAACGGTCAGTTAGTTATGTGCCATATGTGATACACGCTTAGGCGATCATGTATCTTTCGATACATGACTGACGAGGCAGATCTTTTCCCGCAGTAGGTTTCCATTTCTTTCTGCAGTAGATCAGTTGCCATCCAAACCGGTCTGACCTGATATTTACCCATAGCTAGAGAGAAAAGAAGAGTATTTATACCTTTCCTAAGGGTATTAGCATGTAAGTGAATATAATGGATTTCACTGGAATTCGAACTTGGCTATCTGATTCCTCAATCCGAGCCTATACACCCGCATTCAGAAATAAGACATTTCGAATATTTTCTTAATACTTTTGGCTAACGTCGCCACGATTACGGTTGCAATATCAGTAGTTTAATTGCTTTTTTTTTAAGTCTGGTTTCCGGTGTTGGTTCTTATCGCGTTTCACATAGTCACTTGGGAGTTCTTTTAACGATTGGTTTTAGTGGTGCCAGCCGAAATTCTTAAGAATATATTGCAAATTTCGTATTGTAATAACAACCGCAAATTAGAAAAAAAAAATGATTAGAAGCGTTGATCAATAAGAAAAATAAAAAACAAAAACAAAGCTGTTTTGTTGGTCTTCAATGAAATTTCCATAAGCAAAAGATTCATGTCCACATGCACCCATATACACTGGTATGTGCAAAAACGTTTGTCCCACAATGCTAATTTTAATACTTTTGTTAAATCTACCCCCAAATGGAGAGAGATTAGCTGCATGCATTTCACAGTTTTATTTTAGGATCATCGCAGGCCAGAAAACAACTTTCGTTAATGCCGTATGGTGGATAAGCCACCAGCGAAAATCTCATCTTTCATCTCTTTGATATATTTTAAAATCAGTTCACCCCACAAAAAGGCGATAATACCACTAAGACGTAGGGTGTTATATAAAGGGAGAAGTGGGAAAAGGACAATAAAGAAAAAAAGATATCGGAGGACAAACGATGGCGCTTGACGTTGTTTTAATTGTTTGAAGATTGTACTTGTCAGGGAAGCAAAAGATCGGAAAGGAGTTCCACAGACAAGAAGTGAGAGAAATAAACTATAGGAATAGAAGTGACGGTTGCATCTCGCTTGATCAATATTAAAAAGATGGGACCTAATTGCTAATCTGATTGAAAAGTAACTCCCTATTTTACGTACATATGTCCTGACTTAACAGGCTGTGATTTTTTTTCTTTGGGGTTGGTTAAAGGAGCAAGTCAACTAGACCAAACCAAGACATTGGAAAGAATTTAAAGGCGAATACAAGAAGTTAGGTCTTTCATAACACAAGAGTACCTGGTGAAATCAATTGACGCGATTCCTGAAAGTTGATATTGAAACTTGCTGTCCAAACTAAATTTTAAATAAAACCTCATGCTAAACGCCTTCCTCTCATATTCATTTCTTGTGAAAATTATAGTTAATACATAAATTATAAGTATTTTAATATGTAGAATTACTTTTTTCAATCACCGTCTGGTAGAACGCTTCATATTCATACGGTCCATGCACTAATGAAAACAGCTCATAAGATAATTGCCAGGAGAACATTTGTAAAAAAAAACGTCAGAGGGAAGCCATTTGCTGACGGTGGGTAAGAGACTACAGTCGAAATCAATAATATTACAGACCCATTGAACTAAAAAAAAAAAAGAATTGACATATATAGTAGGATCAGGCGACCAGATATGGCAACAGTGTTAAATGCTAACTGCCTTTTAGCTCTAATAATCTCCCAATTCGATGTGGTATTGAAACAAAATCGAGATCTTCACATTGAGAATAATTTCCAACCTTAATGAGTGCCAAGAAGCACATTTATGTTGAAACCCCCCCTCCCTCTTCATCGTCCGGCAGAAGCTTAGACTGTAATAAACTAATATATGTTTTCGCTGTTTAGGTTTCCATCAATTTTTACCAATTTTTTTTCTAACGTCGCTTTCGATACAACCGTTTTCAATTAAGTGGCCATCAACAAATTTTACTATTTTTATGGGAGATCTTGCATTTTTCTTTCTTTCACTGTCTTCATACATATTCTATTGCACTAGAATGGAACTGTATTTTGCATTCATCCTTAAAAAATCTCCATTAACAAGAACCTTTTTTGTTGCAGGTGATGAGTGCCAAGATGCACGGTCATGTTGAAAGATTTCTCTCTCTTCGTTGTCTTTGAAAAACTAAGACATTCATAAACTAATAGATTTTTCGCCGTTTAGGTTTTCATCAATCTTTACCAATTTTCTTCTAGTATCGCTTTTGATTCAACAGTTTTCTATTACGTGGCCAGCAACAAATTTTACTATTTTCATGGGAGATCTTGCATTTTTTGCTTTCTTCCACTGTCTTCTCACATATTCTATTGCACTAGAATGGAACTGTATTTTGCATTCGAGAAATGAACTATATTTTGCATCCATATAAAAATCTTCATCAAGAAACTTTTTTTCACACGTGATGTATGCCAAGGACCACCGTCATGTTGAAAGATTTCCCCCTCTTCGTCGTGATGGCAGAAGTTATGACTGTAATAAACTAATGTAGTTTTCGCTGCTTAGGGTTCCATCAATTATTACCAATTTTCTTCTACTATCGCATGTGATGCAAACCCGTATAACTATGTGCACACTATCAAATTTTTCTGTCTTTGCAATGTATCTTTGATTCTTACCCCACTGGCCTTCTTACCTCCATTGTATCTTACCCCCATTAGTCTTCTCACCCCCATTGTTTCTTACTCTTATAGGTCTTCTTACCCCCATTGTTTCTTACCCCCCTTGGTCTTCTTACTCCCATTGTTTCTTACCCTTATAGGTCTTCTTACCTCCATCTTATAGGTCTTCTTACCTCCCCCCCATTGGTCTTCTTAACCCCATTGTTTCTTACCCCCCTTGGTCTTCTTACTCCCATTGTTTCTTAACCTTATATGTCTTCTTACCTCCATTGTTTCTTACCCTTATAGGTCTTCTTACCTCCATTGTTTCTTACTCTTATAGGTCTTCTTACCTCCATTGTTTCTTACCCCCATTGGTCTTCTTAACCCCATTGTTTCTTACCCCCCTTGGTCTTCTTACTCCCATTGTTTCTTAACCTTATAGGTCTTCTTACCTCCATTGTTTCTTACCCTTATAGGTCTTCTTACCTCCATTGTTTCTTACTCTTATAGGTCTTCTTTCATTGTTTCTTACCCCCATTGGTCTTCTTACCCCCATTGTTTCTTACCCCCTAGTCTTCCTCCCATTGTTTCTTAACCTTATAGGTCTTCTTACCTCCATTGTTTCTTTCTTATAGGTCTTCTTACCTCCATTGTTTCTTACCCCATATTGGTCTTCTTACCCCATTGTTTCTTACCCTTATAGGTTTTCTTACCTCCATTGTTTCTTACCCCCACTGACCTTATTAACCCATTGTTTCTTACTACCATTGATCTTCTTACCCACATTATTTCTCACACCCACTGGTATACTTACCCCCAATGTTTCTTACTCCTATAGGTCTTCTTACCTCCATTGTGTCTCACCCTCATTGGTCTTCTGTTTCTTACTGCCATTAATCTTCTTACCCACATTATTTCTCACCACCAATGGTCTTCCTACCCTCATTGTTTCTTACTGTTATAGATCTTCTTACCTCCATTGTTGCTTACCCCACCATTGGTCTGCTTAACACATTGTTTCTTACTGCCATTCATCTTCTTACCCACATTATTTCTTACACCCACTGTCCTTCTTACGACCATTGTTTCTTTCGCACATTAGTCTTCTTATATCCATTGGTCTTCTTAGCCCCATTGTTTCTTGCCTCCATTGGTCTTCTTACCCCCATTGTTTCTTACCTCCATTGGTCTTCTTAGCCCCATTGTTTCTTACCTCCATTGGTCTTCTTACCGCCATTGTTTCTTATCACCATTTGTCTTATTACTTCCATTATTTCTCTTCTTACCCCCATTGGGTGTTACCCCCGTTGGCCTTCTTACCTATTTTCTTGCATAACAATATAAGTCTATTTTACAGTTATCATTAAAATTACTTTTTGTAATTTTCCAGGATACTATGTTAGATGTCATTTCGACAACTTCATTCCCCTGTACCGATGTTTCTTTTCCGTTCATTTCGATGTTTTTGCGTTTGTTTGCAGTTAAAGAACGCCCGTTTAAGCTGATTCTTCCTGTTTTCTGGTTTTCCTGTTTTCTTTGTACTTCGCTGCCTGTAAGATGGTTCGAACGCTGTTTCAGGAAATTTCCAACCACCTGGCTATCCCTTGTTGTGTCATCTCCTTCAAAATTACAACATTCTGTAGAACGTTTAGCCATGATTTTAGTGTAAAAACGCAAGCTAATGTTCAAATACAATGAGTTGCAAAGACAATTTACACTCATGTTGATGACATGGAACAATTACTACTTAGGAATTTGCATATTATCCTGACTTTATCATCCTTCATTGGCTCAAAGCACATACACTACTGATAAAAGGATAATAAGCATGGTAAGCAATATTAACATGTTAATAAAAGAAAGGTAAAGGTGTATAATCATTTTATGTAGTGGGCTTCATTTTTTGCATATATAGTAAGGATGCTGGGAAAACTAAATACAAAATTAATTAAATCTTCGTTGTTGGCCCTATTTAATGAACGATAATTAAAAAAAAGATTGATGCCAAATAAATATATATATATATATATATTACAGCAATATATATATATATATATATATATATATATATATATATATATATATATATATATATATATATATATAAAACAAAAAAAAAATTCATCTCAACATAATGATCACCCTAAAAGTGCTATGTTTCGGTAATTTTTTCTGTAAAAAATACATATGCTCTGTTAAAATAAAAATATCGATCTCGCTGCGGATCAGTTTTAATAATTAATATTTACTAGGAGCCATCCGGATTATATATCAATATGATCGATTATATATATATATATATATATATATATATATATATATATATATATATATATATATATATATGTTATGAACTTCTTGAACAGGTTCAACGTGACAACACTGAATTGGTCGTGGAACAGTCCAGATTTGAAGCCAATTAAAAATCTATGGAAATTGTCAAAAAAGTAAGCAAAAAAAAAAAAAAAAAAAAAAAAACTAAAACAAACAAGTTTAATGAGGAGGAAGGAAGCTATTTAGAAATATATTTGTTCATTTTCAAATTACTGCTTTTCTTCCTCATTCCATGTTCGGAATTACTTATATATCTCCGTATTTTGACATGCAAATGAAACCCTAGTAGAATCACGAATAGAAGATTGAAAAAACATATATTTTTGCTCGACCAGATAATGGAGATATAAATTCAAATCTCTTTTACTCTTTGATCTGTAGCCGAACAGAAGTAAAAACATGAAACCAGTCCTCTGTTCAGAAAATTTCCCGACATATTGCTTATTTCAACCACTCATAAATATTCAGTAGATTTTTATCAAGAAATTGAGTTGACTGGGAGAAAAACTTTAATGATAATTTTGTATCTGTTGTGAAACTACGGCTATGCAAAAATTATTAAGAATATTTTTAAGTCAATTATACTTAAATATCATATGTGTAATAATCGGTTATATATTTCTCTTCTAATATTCTTCTTATTAAGGTCTGTTTTTTAAGGGTTTAAGTTAACCCTGGGCTAATAGAATTTGGGATTCCCTTAATTGTTTTTTCTTTCTTTTTATGTGCCGTGTCTTTTCAGGATGTAGGCGATCATGGCTCTCCACATCCTCCTATCCCCTGTAGCTCTCAATAAGTTTCGTGCCTCTGCCACCTCCCCAACACCACCTTCTGCAATCCACTTGCTTAAGCCTGCCAGGTATGCCATGCATTGCTTTCCGTTGTCTATTTCCCTCTCTATTCCACCTGTGAGTATCAAATTCTTCAGGCCCTCCTTTCTCATTACGTGTCCCAGAAATTTCATCTACCTCTTCCTTATGTTAACTATAAGCTTTCTCCTTGTTTGCATCCTCTTCAAGACCTCATCCTTGCTCTCACGCTCGTTGCATGATATCCTTAGCATCCTTCTGTAGAAACACATCTCTACAGCCTCGAGTCTCTTCTTCATCTTTGAGGAAACCACCCAACATTTGCTGGCGTATAAGGGGACAGATGTCACTTAGCAGCTCAGTGCTCTTTTCTTTGTCCCCAAAGAAGTCCTCCTGTCTCGCAGTACTCTGCCCAGCTTCGGATCTCAGTGTCACACTTACCGTCCTCCGTCAAAACGCTTCCCAGATATTTAAACTTCCGCACGTGCTTGATTTTAGTGTTTCCGACTTACAAATCGCATTTCGGGCATAGCCTTTTACTGATGATCATGCATTCTGTCTTCTTGTATTTTATGGTTAGTCCTTTCTTCTCGCCCTCCCTCGCTTTCTTCTGTAGGAGGTTTTGTAGTTTCTTTTCCGTATCTGCTATCAGTACTGTGTCGTCTGTCGTTCATTCATTACGTGTCCTAAAAAATGTCATTACATTATATGCCATTCATGTCTTTAAAAAAAATATATTTTAGATGATGCTTTTTTGCGTAAAGTATGAGACACTTCAACTAAAAATCTACATCAAGAATCTATATGCATATGAAAAAGATGCATCAAAATTTAAATAGCGTTTCTTCAAGGGTCCCCATCGAATTTAAAAAAGGAACGCCCTAATTATTTCAAATTTGTTCAAAAGAGTCCCATTAAATAGGAAAATAAACAAAACTCCTCTGTTCTTATTCTTTACATTTTTAGTTTTATCAGTGGCCCAAGAATAAAAAGACTTTGTCGGCCATTATAGACATGGGGCCCTGGGCTGCAAGGGCATACTAGCTCGTATGCAAATAGGGAACTGGTCATATTAAACTTATATTTAATACACACTTAAGCTATCATCGTCATCAAAGCCATAAGATCTGTTTGGTCTTTAAGGCACACTGCAATAATTATGATTTCTCATCTTCCAGCAAATTTGTAAATAATTCTTATCACTCTTTTTCATACTTTCATGTCTTGTGACAACTGCCAAAATTTTTCCAGACTTTTTTTAACGAGAAATGAAGGGATTGTATTGATAGTTCTCTTAATATCGCTGTTCAGTGTATATCTAACGGTTGTTGTTGTTCCTTCAAGGTCAATGAATGTTATTCTTCCATTTGCTATTGATGACAAAACGATTTCCATAATATATACTGTTTCCAAACCTATTAACTTGTGCTGTCTAATTCCAATATTAATATCAAGTCTCACTTTGATTTTGTTTCCTGGAGATAACAGACGTGAATATTATAATTATCAACTGTTAATCTAACACCTACACATATAGCCAACACGCAAATATTGAAACTAAGCAAAATTTCCCGTAGCGTCCTTTTAAAAACGGGAATTTTTCTACGCTGACGATAAATTTAAACAAGAAGGAATCACGCTCACAACCTCATAAAGCAATCAAACGATTTTTTTTTTTGAATAACATTTTTTGCCGTGGCTATAGCTTTTCACCACACGCCCTGATAGATCGAGTATCTTTCCTAAATTCAGTTTGCAATCCATTTATTCAAGATATTGACAGTTCATTATATGTAGCTGCTCAGCGTATATGCGATAAGTTTTTGCTATCTTTCACGGAAGTGTGTTACATTGTTCCTCTCGGAATAATACAGAATCGCTTTATTAGGAGATCAAATTACAGCACAAAATCCAATTATCTCCCATCTTAACTGGAGAATGAAAACTGATATCAGGTATGTTTTGCATCTTTCGTCATGATCATCATCATAATTATCATTAATATACACATCGTCGTCATCGTCATCATATTCGTCATCGTCCCGATCATCATCCCCCCCTCATTATCACAATCATCGTCACTATCGTCATCATCGTCGTCGTCGCCGTGGTCAGCAATGTCTTCCTCCTTTTCCCCTCCTCCTCCTCTTCATCATCATAAACTCCGCATCAACATCATCATCATCATACTTCACCGGCACATCATTATCACCATCGTCCTCGTCGTTATCATCGTCATATCTCTCCTCCTCTTCATCATCATCTTTGTCGCCATCATCATCATCATCATCAACATCTTCGCTGTTGTGTACACTATTCTGGTAGTAACATTTTCTGTTCGTTTTATTTATCTGTCTCCAATATATAACTCTTATTTAGTATTACCGCTTTTACTAATGACCATGACTTCTCACTTTATACAGTTAACATATATTTTGCTTGTTATGACTATTTTGTCTAAGAGTTCTTGTACTTTCCTTTCTGGGTCTTCCATCATTACAATGTCTCTTCTTCCGCAGTGTTTTCCGCTAGTATTATAGCTATTCTCCATTTCGTCGTAGATTTGAAACAAAATAGTCCATATTGCAAAATATGTGCAGATATATGAAGTGATGGGAAACGCCTTCCCTCTGCCTTTTTTACCAATGGCATCATGGCAATTATTCTGATGAGATATTCTCCTTCATGCACCAACCGTATAAATTTAAGAATGCGGCTAGATTGGCAATTAGGTCTCGCCGTATAACTGTTGAATTAGCTAGATGAAACTGTCAGTTTATTTTCTCGCATTTCCATTCAGGGATAAGAACGTGTTCCCATAGAAGAATGGTAGCAAGTCCCATAAAAGACTTATTCAAATCTCATCAAAAACATTAGAAAACGATTGCAACAAATTATAAAGATGAGAGGCCATGCTATTGACTATCAATATTGTGAAAGTTGTTCAATTTTTCTATTTTTCATACTGTACGAATAATTTTGTTTTCTTTTAGTATTTTGCATAATTTGCCCATCAAATTTGTTATA